AATAAGAAAACAAACATCCCAGGGGCGCCTGGGTGGCTCAGTCAGTTAAGCGTCCGACTTTGGCTCAGGTCATGATCTCACAGTTCCGTGGGTTCTAGCCCTGCGTCAGGCTCTGCGCTGACAGCTCAGAACCTGGAGCATGTTTCAGATTCTGTATCTCCCTCTCTCTCTGACCTGCCCCTGCTCACGCTGTCTCTCGCTCTCTCAGAAATAAATAAAACGTTAAAAAAAAAAAAAAAAGAAAACAAACACCCCAATAAAAATGGGCACTCAAAATTACCACTGCATAACATTTAAAAGCTATAAACTTTTATTTGAATGTGTATATCTTTTTCCAGTCCATGATGGGCCCAAACATAACTTCTCACCAACCCAGAATTAGGCTTTTGATCTCTGTTAACCTTTGATGCACTTTATACTGACCTTTAAAAAAAAGAAAATATTAGTTTTCATTGAACTCAGAAAATAAATTTACAATAAGTCCTTAGTAAAGAGGCTAATTTTCCTATCAGATAAAACTGGCTCTTTAAACACACCCAAAATGAGTTATAACCTTCTGAGGCATAAAAATGCCCCAGAAAAAATTTTGACTTTTTTATTATGTTTTTAACGTTTTATTCATTTTTGAGAAAGAGAGAGAGAATTCAAGGGAGAGAAGCAGAGAGAGAGGGAGACATGGAATCCAAAGGAAGCTCCAGGCTCTGAGCTGTCAGCACAAGACCTGATACAGGGCTTGAACTCGTGAACTATGAGATCACGAGCTGAGCCGAAGTCGGACGCCCAACCAACTGAGCCACCCAGGCACTCCTCACCTTTAAAATAATGATCCCTGAGCATGAATCACATTTTTAATCACGTACTTCCTCCTTCTCCTTGATACCAAAGCTAAACAATTCTGGAACCCAGTGATGAAAGAAAAGACTTACTTTCCCTTTGCTCATATTTCTTCACTTATTTCTCATCACCCAGTACTACATTTTGTTAAGTCACTGTACATCATGGTTGGGAACAATGTGAGGTATAACAAAGAAACAAAGAGATTCTTCATGAAAGAAACCTTTTCAGGTCAAGTTATTCAATATGTAACCCTTTTCCAAGAGAATGTCTCCCCTCCCCCAATATCATACCTGCTCAGGCCATACTTCTCTGCTGGAAATCAGAGAGGAAATAAACCTTCAAGATTTCCAGCACTATACCCAGCTTGTTTCCAACTACTGCACTCTTTCTTACCCTATTTTATTTTTTAGAGTCTTTTTTTTTTTAGTATACTTGACACACAATGTAACATTAGTTTCAGGTATACAGCATCGTGATTCAACAATCTGTACGTTACCACTAAGCTCACCACAAGTACAAGTGGCTGTCACCACACACCACTGTTACAATCCCATTGACCACATCCCCTATGCTGTATGTTTCATTCCCATGACTTATCCGTTCCATCACTGGAAGCCTGCATCACCCACTCCCCTTCGCTCATTCAGCCCATCCTTCCGACACCTTCCCCTCTGGCAATAACTTACTTTATTTCTCTTATAGTACTTCTCAACAGCTGAAATAGGAGATAAAGCATAAATAAATAGGTCTCCTTCCAGCAGATTGTAAATTCCATGAGAAGAGCAACTTTGTCTTTCTTGTGTATTCTTTTACCCTCGGCACCCAGGGTCCGGCACAAGCAGATGCTCAATAAACATCTGTGAATCAACAACAGCCTGAGGCACCTCTCCCTACCCGGTCTCTTCATGTTTTCCCAACGATCCTGGGCATCCCATAGCAGCACTGCTAATGGAAATAACAAGATATGCCGCCCACGACTCCCTCTTTCTTCCAGGATGAGTGGCCAAGTCTTTTTGCCCATTTCTGTGCTAACGAGATACTGAGGGCACGTCTCTGATTGCACACTCTAACTCCAAATGCCCACCAGCTTCCACCACAGCAAATGGAAACAAAAAGCAGCGCTCGCTTCATACATCAAATGGAAACAGCCTAAAGTCTTTAAAAGCGAGAGGCAATAGAGGCTGGTTTCCTACTAAAACAACTGCTGCATATTCATCCACCGGATGTACTGTCGGGAGATCTGTTCTCTCATCCGGGATCCACCACTAACTGCATCTTCACCAAGTCCCAGCCTGTTAGTTTCAACACAGGTAACAATAGTGAAACGAAGCCATGATTTAGAGCAAGCAAGTGTTCTTGGCAGGGGATATGGGAGAGCGTGAAGGGAGGTACTGGGGAGTGGAAGGCAGAGAAGGACCAGCTGTGAGGCATTTTCAAACCATACATGCAGCCCAACCCCTCTACCCTAAGCCGCCCCTACAGAATCATCACCACAGCGCAAGCCACCGTTGCTGTTCTAACGTGAGTGTGAAAAACTCAGAAAAACTTCTCCGGGTTTTAAGAGTAACTTCTTGGAGGAATGGGACCAGGGGATATTCCCCTCAGCTACACCCCGTACTTCTATTGTACTGAACTTCTCCTCACTGGCTGGACAGGTCATGTCTGTCTTCATCTGTCACCGCCTGTGGGAGAAACCACTGACTGCCCAACAGCCTGGTAGGCAGTCCCGCTTCCTTCCCGGCCAACAGAGCTCCCGCTGTGCTCAGACAGGGCCATCGAAGTGCTCAGGGAAACTGAGTCCCTCCCTCAGGGGCCGAAGACTGCTTGGACAACACAATCACAGCCCGCTGTCTTCTCCTTGATCAGTGACCGATTCAGGGTAGGGATGTGGCCCTTCTGCGCCATGACATAGGGAGCTTCTGGGAAATTTGGTCTTTTGTTATCCAGAAGCACTGAGAAGCAGCCCTGTCCCTCCCTTTCTGCTTCGGATAGTATCACCTGAAGCCATGATGCAGCTGCAGTCGGCAGGGAAAACCAAGAGGATCTGACCTGGAGCCACGACCACTTCAGACCCCCTCCCTCCATACTTCTTAAGTGACACAGTAAAGCGGCCTAAACTGTTACTTACGACAGCAAGCACTGCTATCCCTCCACATGGCCTGGAAGCCCCTCAGACTCCTTCTCCCAGAGTAGCCCCACCATCTCCAACTTAGAGCTCAACCACAGTTTCCTTGGGAAGTCATCACAATATCCCCAGACGGTTAAACGGTTCCAGGCACTGTCATCTCCACATCTTTTTCCGTGAGCTTCTCAAAGGCAAGCATTTTTACCCTTGGCAGAGGCCCTGGGAGACGGTAATTAAGTCTCAGTTTGGGCTCAGCACAGGGGACTCCACTTTGGGCCTACTGAGTGAATGAACAACAAAACAATGAATGCAAAGGCGAACACACAGGATGCCTTCCATGCCTTAGATAAAGACCATGACTGACAGACTGAATATGGCACCCAGGCTGTCTACACTCTACTTCGGACTCTGTTTATGTGGTGGTGAGCAAAGGCAGAGATAGTGCAATCAATGGACGCATCCTATTTTTATCTGCCCACTGGGAACTGCTCCTCCTCAATCTCCAACAGCTGAACTGGAACTGAACTAATCCCCCAGGCACTGGTGGCATCAGGGTAAAGTATTCAGTCCGATCGTGGAAACCCACTCCCTATCCACTGAGATGGCTTGGCCTGGCTTTGGTCTAGTTATCAGTAAGATTTGCTATAAGGATGCAGAGCTGCAAGCAGAGAGAGACTCTCTCCACCCCCACCCACCCACCCCCTCTCTCTGAAGGAGCAGATAAACCTCCAGGTGCCAGTGCATTTATCACTCCATACTAAAAACCAGTCAAAACAGGGTAAAAAGAACCAAGATATGTATGAGAGAGAATAAGCCCTCCAGACTTATATGAGCCCCTGGATGTAGCTACGCCTGAAGCTAAAACCCTCAGCCTATTTCAATTACGCAACCCAATCAATTGCTGTATTGCATCAGGCGATTTTCAAGTGACCCACACCCAACTCAAAGAAAAAGTTCTGACAAATACAGTTGATAACGATGGCAGCAGGCTGACAACACCCCTCTGTCTGCAGGTCGTCTGTCTTGGCACCTCTCATGCCTCTAGGATGGTATCAGGAGGTAAGACGGCGTGGAGGCGGCGTCACGATGAACAAGTCAGAGTGGTAAAAAAAAAAAAAAATACGTCACCCCCAAAACACACACTCTCCACCACCATCAGGGATTTCCCCCCTTAAAAAAAGGGTAATCTGAGCCTTCTGTAGCTCCCTTCTGTTCAGAAATGTGTGGAGGCCTCTGGGAGGCATCAAGTGTTACATTATCACATAGAAGAAAAAAATGGAGAGAACTTTGAGCAAGCTTGTGCCATGTACTTTACGAATATCACATAACTTAAGGCTGTTTTAATGATTCTAACACCCGTGTTGCCTTTGAGGGAACTGAGCATCAGCCAAGTTCAGCAAGTTGCTCAAGGTCACACAGCTTTTAACTAGAATTGAAACAGCACCCTAGCCCTTTTCCCCTTCTCACTCGGCTCGCCGGGCCCTGGGAGATGGAGGCGCCCGTCCACCCCCACCCCGATCTCCACAACGCCCCCCAGGCACCTAGACCTGCAGCCTTCCACCCTCAGCACCCCCCCCCCCCCCCCCCCCCCCCCCCCCCCCCCCCCCCCCCCCCCCCCCCCCCCCCCCCCCCGAGTCAGAGCCACCGCGCATACTCAGCTATTCGGAAGCCCGGGGTAACGAACTAACCCCGGCGCGTGTGTCGCTCATTCACCAGCACCAGCAAAAGTGAGGAGCCGGGCAGACAGCAGCCGCGCCGCAGAGGGGGAGGCGGGAGCTGCTCTCGGCTCCTCGGCGGCCCGAACCCCCGCCCCAGCTCCGCGCTCTCCCCAGCAGCCCCGCCGCGCAGCCTCGCCTCTCCCCACCCGCGCCACGCAGACGGAGCTCGGCGGCGCCCTGGCCGCCCCCCGTCCAGCGCAGAGGTTCCTAGCTGTTCGCCTCCCGGCGACTTCGGGGCCCTCGCCGCCCCCCCGGGGCTCCGCGGCCCTCCACTACCCGCAGCAGCCGCGGGGTCCCCCGGCCGGCCACCGCCCCCTCACCTGCGCGGCCCGCGCCCGCCGGGCCTCTCCGCGCACCAGCCCGGCTCCGAGCGCGCCCGCCGGGGGCCCGCGCTGGCTGCGGCCGCGCGGGGCGGGGCGGGGCGCGGCTCCTCCCCGCCGGAGCCACCTGGGGCGCCCGCGAGGGGACCGGGCCGGGACAGGTGGGCCCCGCCCGCCAGCGAGCCGCCCGGGGCCCCGGCCCCTTGGGGAAGCTCTCAGCGATCTTTTGTCGGGGTCGGTCTGTGCGTGAGAGGCGGCAGGGAGCCAGCCACGGCACGGCCCGTTTCCAGCCCGGCCCGCGCGGGCAATGGGACGCAGAGCGGGACCCGACCGACCCACCCAGCCAGCGCGGAGCGGAGGCCAACCCCTTTCTTTGTGGGGTGCATAAACCGAGAACCCGGAGCTGAAACCTACAGGGTGAAAATGTTTGGGCCAAGGGCGCAGTGAGTTAGGTTAGAACTGGAAGAACTGCGGCTTTTTCCGACCATCCCACATTAAGCCATCCCCACCTCACCCACGGTGGGCTCAGATGAGCCCCCAAAGCCTTTTGTAAAATTGCATTAAGCTGTAAATAAGAGCATTTCCGATCGTGATAGTTTCCCTACCTCTAGACTGTAAGCCCCAAAAGAGGAGGAGCCTCCACTGTACGCTGTTAAATAACTAGAGCCCTGAAGAATGAGTGTGCTCACTTAATTCCTGGCGCACAAATGAGGGCCGGCCCCGTCTGAGTCCAGCCTTCTGCTGGTCTCTCCACGCCAGCATCGTTCCAGCATCTCTCCTACTTTATCAGGAGGAACCCAGAGTCGAAAGGCCAGGCTTCCAAGCCACGCATCCTCTGGACGGGTTACTACCCTCCGGTTGCCTGCCAGGCCTGGGGGAAGTCTCCACCCCCGGGGCATCTTCATAAGCTGTCAAGCAAAGCTTTAACTTCTGAAGAAGTCACAGGCAGGGGTACTCAGAAATATAATGCTGTCCTGCCAGCCTTATGCTTGTGGAAACAGCCCAGAGTTCATGTGACTGACCCAGGATCCCACAGCTAGTAGCAGAGCCAAGGGTGGGGCATTCGAGGTGCCGGTGAGTCCTGTAGCCAGGAAGCCTTGACTGGGGAAAGAGCTTCTACAGAAATGGGACCCGGGGTTGGTCCTCTGCTGAAATCTCTAATCCGTGGTCTTTCCAGGCCTCTCAGAGCTCATGACCAGAGCCACTTGAACTTAACTGAGGCCCTGACAGTTAAAAAAAAAAAAAAAAAAAAGTGGGGGCATCTGGCTGGCCCAGTGGGTAGAACTTGCAACTCTTGATCTCAGGACTGTGAGTTCGAACCCCTTGTTCGGTGTAGAGGTTACGAAAAAAAAATAATAGATAAAATAAAATCCATTTAAAAATGTGTCAAAACAGGATACAAAGAGTGCGGTATCTTTTTTCCTTTGAACAAATGAATGGCCTTAACACACATATACACACACACAAACACACACATGATGCTGTGTGATGAGGCTACTCATACATTAATTCAAGACTCATTAAAGAAATCCATTCTAAGCCCACTGCAGGAAACATTGTACACTTTACAACTTTAAAGGTGCATGGAGAACATTCCTACTTAGAACTACTTCAGTACACTTCTATGACTGTCTTTTAAACCTCAAAGGCCATAATTAGAGGCTGTCTGTCAAGGTGAGGCCAGTGCCAAGTGGTCTGCTCCACCCCAACCCCCAACAATAGGCTCAACATTCTTGGGGCCCGGGCCCTGTCTCCCCCACAATCCTGCTTCATCGGTGAGTCCTGCACAGATGGATGTCTGGGACGTGGTGTTGCCTGGCTGGCTGCTTCACACTGGGCAAGGCTGATCTGGTAAAAAGCTACAGAGAAGGCCGCACCTAGGTGTGCCCTATTCAGGTGCACTCCCTATGTGGTGGGTGGGGAAGCTAATGTCCCTGGGTGGGGCTGTGGAGGGTCACCAACAAGTGGGGCTGAGGTCGGGAGCCCCTCCAGGTCTCACCCACACAAAGTGGGCCCGGCCCTTCTCGTGTGTTGGTTACAGTCAGTGGAGCGTGTGATCTGTGATTTAGGGTCCTCCCACTGTGTGTGTGATCATGGCTGGGCCAGCCTGGTAAGTGATGCCACCAAACTGGCCTGGGAATCATCATCAGGAAGGCACAAGTTCTGCCCTGGCATTCATCATTCATGCTGTCTCTCTCTCTCTCTCTCTCTCTCTCTCTCCCCCCTCCCTCAGCCCCACCCCAGGCTTGCTGAGTAGCCCTGGGCATGTTCCCTAATTGTGCATTTCTCTCACTTGGAAAACCTGCAAGCATGAAATCAGACAGATCTTGAAGTTCTTTGCCTGAAAGGGGTATCTGAAATATGAAGGTCGGATACCATTGTGAGGTTCCGTGAAATAATGCACTTGAAGTGCCAGCACAAACCACCTGCTCATGGCTCAAACTGGCAACTAATATCTGATGGTATTAAAGTGCTGATAATAGGATAAAACTATTGATAGACTTCTTAAGAATCTAGGAAGAATTAATCCCTGCAAATGATCATGCATGTTATTATTCTCTGCTGGTCCCAAGGAAAATGATATTTGAACTAGGAAATCTTCAATTTCTTTTCTATCTCTAGCTCTCTGGTTGTATAGTGCAAGAGAAATTATCCAATGAATAACCAAAAAAATTTCCCAGACTTGGGATATAATTTACCTTTTTTCCTATCTTTACATAGGACTCCGTGTGTGCGTTAATACTGCACATCATCTTCTGAGCACATTTTTTCAATGAAGTAATGCATAGAAAGTGCCTAGAATAAGTCCTGGTACATAGTAGCTGCTCAGTTAATTAAAACTAATATGGGAGAGGTTTTGGGAACAGGTCAGCAATATTAGGGTCAAAAAGAGCCATGAATTCAGGTAGACAAATCTGATAATCTCTTAAGTTACTTAGAATTTAAGTTCACTGGCTTTGGAATCAGAATGTCTGGGTTCAAATCCAGATAGCTCTTAACAAGGTATGTTAATATGCCTCAGTTTACTCATCTATAAAGTGAAGATAATACTAGTGTATCATAGGCATGGGAGGCATACATAGAAATCAGTGAGTTGCTACTTTATGCCAGGCACACTGCTCCGGGCTTAGGTTCTCTTCTGAGAGCTAATTTCAGGGTATGAATTGTTAACCAAGGTCCACAGACCCTGGACCTGAATTCAGTATTCTGTGTCTACAGACATTTTTCTTAAAGGGAGAATCCACAGCTGTCCTTAAATTTACAAAAAGGCTGGGGTCTCAGAACTAGTTAGGAATCACTGCCTTCCAGACTTAGCCAAGGGTCTTACAGCTGGAAGACTCGTCAGAGGTTCTGCAGGCTGCTGCTCCCTGACATACTTCAGGAGGAGGATCACCGGGGATGCCTGCTCATGAGGCAGAACACTAAAAAAAGTTTTTTGTTGTTTTTTTTTTTAAATGGGGCCCCTGGGTGGCTCAGTCCATTAAGCGTCCGACTTCAGCTCAGGTCATGTTCTCACAGTTTGTGAGTTCGAGCCCTGCGTCCGGCTCTGTGTTGACAGCTAGCTCAGAGCCTGGAGCCTGCTTCAGATTCTGTGTCTCCCTCTCTCTCTCTGCCCATCCCCAGCTTGTGCTCTGTCTCTCACTCAAAAATAAATAAAAATTTAAAAAATTTAAAAAATAAAAAGAGGCAGATCCCTGCTCCTGAGAATTCTGATTCCAGAGAGCAGAAATAGTGTCGGATAAGCAGTGTCGGAAACCGATCGCATCCAACTTCTCAGGCACAGAAACAAGCCTGGTGGAAGGTTCCGTTTGGAACAGCTTCCGCCCCACATCCACCAAGAGGCCTCCCTCCCTTGCAAGCCAAGCCCTCACCTCACCTCAATAAAGGCAGAGAAATGTTACTCTCTCCGCAACCCAGGTTCACATGAGCAGTGCTCGAAAAACAACAAAATGAGCCTTCTTTTTTAAACTTATTTTATTCATTCATTCATTCATTCATTCATTCAACTGAAGTAGAGTTGACACGTTACATTAGTTTCAGGTGTGCAACATAGTGATGCAAGAAGTCAGCATGTTCTGCTGTGCTCACAAACACGTCAGCATACAATAGGACAATGCCACCGACCATATCCCTCAGGCTGTACGTTTTATGCCCATGACCAATTCATTCCATAACTGAAGCCTGTACCTCCCCCTCCCCTTTACCCATTTTGTTGATTTATTTGCTTGGAGAAAGAGAGGGAGAGAGAGGATGAACAAGGGAGAGAAAGAGAGAGGATAAGTGGGGGAGGGGGAGGAGACTCTCAAGCTGGCTCAGCATTGTCAGCACGGAGCTGAGGGCTCAAACTCACCCACCAAACCCTGAGCTCGTGACCTGAGCCGAATTTAAGAGCTGAACGCTCAACCGACTGAGCCACCCAGGCTCCCCTCCCCTTCACCCATTTAGAGATCAGGCTTCTTTTTAGAGAAAAATAAAATGTGCAGCCACCTCTGTGTGAGCGCTTTGAATCTCAGAGAAACGCAGACCTCTCTGGTGGGGACTGCTACCCCGCCCGGACCCGCCCCCTCCACACACCCCACTGTACCTAGCTTTGCTGTTTGAACAGCTGACACTATTCAGCTCACACTTTCAAGTGACAGCCTACAAAAATGTAGGTGCTTTGTTCCACTTCCTAAAGCCACAGGCCAATTAGTCACCGAACAGGGAACTTGAGTCTGGTGCCATTTAGTTGTGTGAGGCCCACTGTGGGAAACACTTCTTTCCTGGCAGATCTTGGCAAGAAATGAGTCTGAAGCAGTAACAGAACAGGCAGCCGCTACAGCACGCAAGAATGGTTATCAGAGTTAGGCTTCGGGGACACCCAAAAATGTCAGCGCAAGAATTATCAGACAAAATCCAGTCTTTGCTTTTCTATTGGTGACTTCCTCTCCGTGCTTACCAAGGGTGGCCAAGGATACATGTGTTTTTTGGGGGTCTTTGATGTTCACCAATCACAAAATCCTAAAGTGGCCGAAAGTTGGAATAACCTCTTCAAAGTGTGTTGGGCAGCAGGCTA